TTAATGAATTGCATGTCATGCTAAAGACACTTCTTACGCTCAGAATTGTAAGTGTTTCGGGATAAAAAGGCCAAATTGGGCACAAACTTGTGATCTAGTTGTCCAGATAGCATAAGACAAGACAAAACATGCAGTCACATCAGTTACGATGCTAATAGTTGTTATGCTCTGGTCTTTTTCATGGCTCGGTTTTACACCAATGTCTTCTAAACATACTTTATATGTCATTACGTTGGCGAACACTCAGATTACTTCAAAGTGTAATACACATAAATATCCGCTTTGCAACTTATATTAGCTTTGAAGCAGTGACTTGAGTAAAAAGGAAATCACAGATAACACTCACCTGACATCACAGCTACTCCAAGCAAGAGGTACTTGAGCTGCCAAATGTCAAACAATTTCCCTTCATAAGCATGCAAATTTATGCAGCTATGTTCTTCAAAACCTAAACTACTCTCTAAATGTGGACTTGTTGTGTTAACTTTCCTTTTATCTTTGAACTGGAGCTTTTACAAGAATGAAACCACAAACTTCAATACAAAGGATTCTGCATTTAATAGAAGATGTTGGAGAAATACAAAGAATAGATAGAATGTCAAGGATAAATTTGATGCCATGATAACTTGGTATCACAGAAAGTTAGGTGTTCAGGTCACTATTTGTAACAAAGAATTGTAAACATCAATATGCCCTCCAATTTTGTGATATGATAATGATAATACGGTATTAATTGATTTGGCATTATGACATGTTACAATGTGTCAGATCAGTGTAAATTCTCACTTTTGGTCTGGAATAAAGCCCTTTTCCCTGAGGGCCATGCATGGGATGCATTGCAATCACAGTGAATAAGTTATCTCACAAGTTTAATTATGCTGAAATGAAATCTGCAATCCTCTCTGAACAGCATTCATTTTCCATTTATACATTTGCTCTTGCAATGAGCTGATGGTGAGTTGATACAGTAATCCAAATAGGCAGTCAGAGTCTTGATGGATCAGAGTAAGATCATTTTAACATGTAACTTTAACAAGTTTTGCTTCAGCAGTAAAAACACATTTTTATAAATGGAAAGATTGCTAGTTGTTGGTTTAACACAGCATCACTTAATACAATCAAACCACACTGGCTAATGATGGAAAAAACCTACTAAGTGAATGTATGTATAACTCACAAATTGTGTCTTATTTAATGAGTTGGAAGTGATGTCTGAAAAGTAACAAGTATTTGCCACATAAGAATTAAGAGCTATTTTATAGTGTTAATCTTTTCTAAAGAGGAGTATCGGTGACTAGATTCCACCTACTCTGGAATTTAAATCAAAATCTATCTGAAAAGCTAATTATTTCGATGCATAAACTGCATACAGATGGAAACATACATATTGTATAAACAGCGCTGCATAATATTTCTCACATAGAAAAGTTACGCATATCTGTAAGTTGTTCTCTGTATTGCTTTGAAGCTGAGGTTTCAGACCTCCTACTGTGACCAAATGCAAATGCAGTCTCTACAAGCATCTCCAGCTCCCACCAAGGCCTTTCATCTCAATACCACTCACAACAAAACTTTACCCATCAATATCGCTTACTGGGTTAGTTCATGCAACTATATTTCTTTAGTTCTGAGGAAGAATAAGGTTCCAAAAATGTAGACATCAACATGTTGGAACACTGTTGGGCGTGGGGTCAAGCGTGGGTTTTTTTGACTGATTGAGATTTGTTGTTGGAGGCTAAAAATGTTGACTACCAAGGCGACCAAGGTACTCTTACTTACAAATAGCATGTATTGTTCTCTCTCTCCTTGTGGGTTCCCTTCATGAATATCAGTATTAAAAGATTCTGGTGACCTAATTTGTGGACTGATCCCCTATACTGCTTTCTGTGGTGCATGTATAAGGTAAAAAAAGAAAAAAGGAAAGGGGGATTATTCACAAACCACTGAGTCTGTGATTTGTCGTAATATAGTTGACTTAACTGTATTAAACTGACTAAGCCAGCGGATAAGAGATAGCTAGCAATCTTCCTTTTACATTTCTGCAGTATGATTTTTGGTGAATATCCTGCACTCACTGGAAAGACTGCCAGGCTCTCAAACACTTGTTAGTCAGAAGTGGACCATATTTAACTTTTTAAGTACTTCACACTCCAATAGCCCTTGTCTGAAAACTGTAAGGACTTCACTTTCTGTCTTGCCAATGATTTTTTTAGAAAGTCAGACCATGATTGAGTTTCACTGTCACAGCATTTTTTATGAGATATTATGCATGCAGCAATACAGGGTCAAGGGCAAGGGAATCGCGGCTCTGGAAGCATGCACACAAGTGAGGATGTTCCTCAAACAGACGAGATGCTGTTTTTCTACTATAAAAAATGGACACTGATTTCAGTGGACACTAATACCTATTTGTCCCAACAGCTGCTGATTTGTTGATGAGGGTGCAGTTAATCACCTGTGTGTCCGCTCCTTATTGACTTAATTCATGTGAACTGTTTTAGAAAAATGTTCTTGTAGGAAACCAACAGCAATTCTTCATGCAGTGTCTTGTCGGCTTGCATGCTTTTAATGACTAGATATACTTTTTATCTTTTTGACCATTGATTTGTCATTTTTTACCTTCATGGTGGTGTAGGATGATTAGTTTGACTGTGTTGCTGCTGCAGTGATATAAGTAGCACAATTAATAACGTATTAATGCATTTGACATACTTAATCCTGGGTAAACCGTTGAGAAAATAAAGGTTTCTGCAATCCTCTCAAACAATGTCTCACCAATTGCACAGAAAAGGTCAACAGTCAGCTTCAACCTAAAGTCAGCAGCCAGTTCTGCATTCCCCTTTTTATCAGCTGGAGAGCCCTTTTATTGTTTGTACATACTTGACTGATATGTTTAATATAACAGAAAAATTTCTAGATTGTTTTGGTGTTCAAGTGAAAACAGCACGATTCTCTGTCTTTTCGTCAGACTGGATCTGATAAGGACCCAGGCCATTTTTAATCTTCGATTTGTTCCATCCAAACACAGAACTAAAGAAAAGTGCCTCTTATTTGATTGCTTTAGTAGTATGAAACTGAGTGTAGACAAATTAACTCACATAGTACAATAAAAATAAAAATAAATATGATAGACATTTAGTCCTTAGAATTATATGCCTGGATAATGCCAAAACTGTCAAACTGTAATAATAAAGTACAGGGGAAGACCAAGAAAATTGGAAAACTGCAATGCATTCAATCACTTACTGTGAAAGTGTCTATTTTAAATAAAAAGACATCAGAATATTAAAATATTGCATTCAAAAACATAGATTTAAGAAAATAAATGTTTTTTTTTTTCCAAATTCATCACTTATCTCTCATCACACTGACTGAGTTGTTTAAAACTGTTGAGGTCTGTGTGTTTCTTTTTTATTTTAGTGACACTGATCAGACTTCATTGTGATAGACACCAGCAAATTTCTATCCATTCAAATGTTTAAAATTACATCTCACCCTCAGATTTTTGGGAGTAATGCACTGATGACTTGTCCAGGCTTTACCCCAAATCTGTCCCATTAAAAACTACCAGATGCCAGATGTGTACAGAATTAATTTAGGCTAAAGTTTATATTTGTTAATTATTTTTAGATTATCAAAACCAGCAACAAAAAAAGTTACAGCAATTTACATTGATTTGTTCAGTGTCTTCAGTATTATCTTGCTATGATGCTATGATATCAATCCTGCCTATTCTTACGGACAAAGCTCAACCTCCTTAGTCTGTCATGTAAGATTGAGGAGTGTTTGTGTTTTCTGAACACTGAATCATAGAGACAGACTAAATTGACTTTATATTATCGAAAGTGTTCAAATTATTATTATTTGGTTTGGTCATTCAGGGACCGGGTAAGTGACTGAGTGGATATACAGTGTGACAGGAGCGTGTTCCACAGCCTGGCAGGTGGAATGTGAGGCCGGTTGGTCTTATATCTTGTTGCTGATTGACTCCCCTTGACAGCCGATGACAGTAGAAAATATCAAAGATGATGCCTGTGATAACCTGTTGTAGTGGATGCACCATTCCTGCACTCACCTAAGAAATTACTTTCAGTACATTCGATGAGTTCTGCGTTACAATGAAACTTTAGCTCCTCAAAAAAGAGAGCAACATCAAAGCTGGATGACTGGTCGATGAGTGATTTTTCTGACATGTTTCTCTCTCCTTGTCATTTGTGGATGCCAGTTGCAACAATCACTGCTTGAATTATTAGAGGTGGAAGTTGTAAAATATTTAAGGGAACTGAGAACAGTTTTTTGAGAAGTTGGAGATTGGTGTTTAAATGTTACACTAGTTTTGTTATAGCAGGGTTTCTATGCTGCTCAACATCTTTTTTCAAAAGAGAAAATTACAGGTGTCACATTATGAAGGGTAACACTGAGCTGTCAGCAGCATGGAAACAGTTGTCATATGTTGTCAAGACACTAATTACATTTCATTACTTTTAAAGCGACTTAAATTATCTTGTTAATTTACACAAATCATGCATTCTATAAAAAATGACTAAAAACAGCGTTTTATTGTGTGATCATTGTTCTGTCGGTTCTTTTGAAAATCGTAGCATGCCTCTAAAAAGATTAATATCATTCAACATGCTTCTGTTTCCTATTATGGCACTTTTTCTCACCAAAAGTAAGTAATGAATTGGAAAAATTTGGAAGAGTTGCCATAAAGGAGAAACTGCAAAGGAAAGAGAAAGTGCTGATAGAGTACATTTCTCTCTCCTGCCCTGTCACTTCGCTCTCGTCAGAATAAGGCATGGTTAAAGTGAACATTGACTGTGTAATTAACAAAGCTAAACATGGACATCACCAGCCCATTTCTGCAGCAATATTTCAACTCTGAATTAAAAAGTGATGCCAATCTCAATATTGTTCTCATAAATGACCTAAAATGTTTGTCTAGTGCTGGCTGCAAGTGACGGAACATTTTCAAAAAAAGGAGGTGTCATTAAACACACATGAACAATAGCGTTCATCTTGGTTTCAAAAAGGCAAAATGGAGATTCACTTTAGATAAAAAAAAAAACACAAGAGAAAGTGGTTTACAACCACAAAGAAAAATACCTTTACCCTCTGGGGAGACATTGCATGTACCAGCTCAGATAAGGAGGGTGGCTAAACTCACATTTTATCATTAAGAACCTCATAGATGTAAAAAAATACCAGGAAAAATGAGAGATCAGGAAGAATAATGGGTGTGTTGCCCAATGCCTAATGATTGCTAATATCATGTTTACAGTATTGTTGTTCCTTTCATTTTAGAAAATAGCGAACCCAGATGGTAATTTGTAACTACAGAATTAAACAAGAACAGACATTTACCTTTACCAGATGTTAAGGCAATTAGCCATTTCACACTATGCGATGCTATGTTTTGCACTGCCAGAGACATTCCAGGGTGAGAGTAAATGACAGAGAAGTGAGAGTCAGAGTGAATACTTTAAGCAAAGTGAGATGGCTTTCTCAACATTCTGTCAACCTTAATCCTGCAGTCTAGTGTCCTGGCAGGTTGCCATCCAATGGAAACTAATCGAATCGCTCAGAATGCCAATCCCCTGTCTACATACTTTTTATTTCTGTCCTGATACAGGGTATCTTTACCATCAAAAAATGCACCTGGCTAATAAATTTTACTGGTTGCTTAAGGAAAATGGTGGACTGTCTCCTAATAGTTGATAGTTTGTGCAGCATGCACGGCATAATTTTCAGACGTGAAAATTGCAGAAACTCCCTACTAACTGAAAACTATCCAATGCCATGCAGAGCTTTGAAGTAGTGATGCACTTCCATCTAAACTAATAATACTCCCCTGAATTTCTATGCCTTATGAATTTTATTTTACCTCCATTTATTTTAAAAACCTTTTCTCAAAAATTTAGACTATTTTGTGAGAAAAAAGAAAGCTCTAGGCAGATATTTTACAGTATTCACATAGCAAACCTGTTAAAATTTTGTAGTGTAGAGAACAAAACAAAACTGGGTATTCAGAATGTACTCGCTGGCTTGATAAGCTTCGTCAAGCCGTGGCCTGAGCTGTTCTCATTACCCGTCGTGTCAGGGTTAGAGAGAACAAAATCAGTGACATGCACCAGAAAACTGATTTATTTATATCCTGCAAGTAATGGAAACTCTTAAGCTTTATGTTTAATCGTTATACTTTGAAACACGAATAACACAAAGAAACGATGATTTGAAATGACATTATTTGAATTTTGTGCATGATTTTCTATTTATAAATACATTATGAGTGTGCTCTCATGGGGACAATGCCTATTTGAGTAGTGACACAAACAGAATAGACAAATGTGTTCACCTACACACCTCTAAAAATTGTGAAAAAGAAAGTGTGTCCATTGGGAAAGCGAGAGAAAAAGTCCTCTTTGAGGTTTGTGAATTAATACTGAAGAGGCAGAGGAGGTTAATAAATATTTAACAGAACATTTAGGCCCTTTTTAAACCAGTTTCTTTGCACACTTTGCTCTTGTCAGTATCTCTTTTTTAGAAGCGGAGATATATGGACTCATAACTGTGACTGCAGGTCTGTTTTAAATGTGAGCATTTTTGTTTTAAGGTATTTAAAAGAGATACTCATGAGGAGAACCTAATGCTTGTGTTGATATCCGTGTGAGATTTGGACTCCCTCCGTTGCCCATTTCCAACTTGTGAGCCTGCACGATGGATGCAGCATGAAGACTTCATGGCACCTGCATTTCAAATGAAAACTATTATTCAATAGTATCATATTATTTGGATTATTATGTGTTTTTCTTTCCTTCACCTTTACCGTTTAATGGATTTTTTTCACAGTGTTCGTGTATATGAGCGCACCTGAGTGCATTCATTTTAAAAAACAGCCTTCAGAGATAGAAATATGAGTATGCAGGGGTTCAGCCCAGGCATATTATCATTCCTCGAGTGCTCCAAAGTGAAGAAATATTCACAACATGAATGAGCAGGTTGAAAGCAACATACATGAAAGCAATCATGAAGAAAACAGCGTGAGGTGCCAGGCGCACTCCAACAGTAAACGCTCCATAGGGCAGAGGTGTCCAGGTTTCTCCTCATAAGAGTAAAGAGGCAGCTTTCAACTTTTACACTAGTAAGAGTAAGTAAGTATGTGCTTCTACTACAAAGAATCTCCTTTGCAAAGGTTAATGGACAATGTGCAGTTTGCATTTTGTCTGCTCCATTAAATCATGTTTAGCAGCGCTGCGAGAGCAGAAAGTCAGTCCACAGTTGAAATCATCATAGCCCTCTCAATTAACAACTGATTTTCACGAATTTTGGTTTCACTCAATAGCTCAATATTTTCTACACGTGGGAAAACTGATTTAATTAATATCAAGTCCAGATCCTCAGGAGGCCCACAGCAAATGTTGATATCTGCGTGCAGTTAGTCCATTTCAGGACAGCAGCATGAGTAATTTTACTTACATAGACGTATTAATTTCCAGGAATCTACCCATTCAGAAGCCTGACAGGAAAGTCAGTCCCTCACCCCTTTCCTTTTCTTGTATCTTGCCATTTAGTTTGAAGTTGCAAATCATCATGCTAATTAGACTTATTGCTAATACACGCACATTTTCTGGTGGTCTATAAGGACTTCTTGTTATAGGAGCATTTAGCTCCTCATATAAAAATATGATTAATTTATATGAAGAGAAAGAAATTTGAATTATAATTATACTCAATATTACCTTGCGTATGTGAATGAACAGACTTTCATTATTATTATTATTATTATTAAACCCTACGTCACAGGCCATATGGCCATATGGTAGAATGATCTGCTTTAGCTTAAATGCATAAATACACATAAATGAAGCGCAGCCCCTGATTTTTGGAGGTCATGAAATCACAGTAACAGGATTGCACATGCACACATTGCCCTTTCAAGACTTCTGTCCCACTGGGTATGTCAAGACCTCATTTTAACCTATGCACCCTCTCAGGTCTCATGTATAGCTTAGGTATGCATGACTCCTCTGCCTCCAGGTTGTGAGTTTGTCTAAATAATATTAATATTAAAATGCATCAAACAGCCCCATGCTCACTACACTCCTCCACTGTCCCTCTCTCACACTCAGTGCCATGGCATGCGTTCCACAGGTAATATCCTTGAGAGACAATAACAGATTCCTTGCGTCTTTGCAGTGTAATACCTTTCTTTAGAGAGAAATATTGACTCCTGCAGAAAAGCTATGTATTGAGCTGACTTCATCCAAGGACTAGACTTCTACTATTCAATGAACATCTCACCAGTGAACTTTAGATGTATGAGAGGTTAGCAGAATGAGCCGTTTGAAAGGTTCAATAAGCACAGTCTGTCTCTTCGGGGAGATGATTGTTTCTTAGTTTTAAAATATAAAGCAGTGAAACACCGCATGACAGTGTAAAGGCTGGGCTAGTTGTGCTCATATGGAAAATATAAAGACACTGACAGTCTTTTGAGGCTACAGGTTCAGTTTATTGCAAAGGCAAATCTGTGAGTTTGGATAGTTCACCTTTAGAGTCCATCTCACTTTTTAAGCAAGTAATTCATACCTCAGCTGGCAAACAAACAATTATTGACCCCAGTGTTTCAGAGTGTAGAATTTTATTTTGAACATACAGCACATCGTAAACTAAAGTGAAGTAAAAGTTTTGTTTTGCTACAAAAAACAAAAGTCAAAGAAAGTAAATCTATGGTATTTACATATGGAGCAATATAATTATGCACCCAACCTCTGCAACCTTTGTAATTACAAATAATCATATAACCCAGTATAACGGCAAACCATTGATGTTAGTTGGAGTATCTAAACATGTTTATGTAATGTTTAAATAATGAACTAAGCTATTGATACTCTTGCATCCAAAATATTGATGAATTTAAAATGTTTTTCTTCCGACTTTATAGTCTTCTGTCCTCAAAAAAGCCAAGTTAGGCAGATATGTTCTAGAAATTTCATAACAAAGATAATTTTTACACAAAGAAATACAATTTTCATTTTATTTAGATATAAGTGGTTACTTAATAAAAACAAATTATCCTGTCCTCAGTTACAAAGGCCACAAGCCACTACTGACCCAGACTCCAGTGTTCACAGAGTATTTTGACCATCGTGTAAAACTCCTTCATGCCATCCCTCTGTTATTATGTGCCTCTTTTGACACACCCACCTAACTCTGGCCCTTTGCAAACGATTATCAGGTAACTATTCACAAAGGCATCACCCTTTTAAATGGCTGTGTGAGCATAGCTGCTTTACATAACAATGTGTTCTTGTCAAACCCTACAGGACCTGCCCTGATTAAAAAACAGTGATCAACCTATTCTCCATCCACACTTTTTAAGAGTGTGTGCTGGTTTTCAAAAATATCTTTCAGCCTGTCCTACACAGTGTAGTTGCTGCTGAATATGGAAGAACACATCTCCAGAACTAAATAGACAGCAACAACTCCCTCATATCAACAGTGTTTAAACTGTCTCTCAATTTATATGGTTCAGCTGCGTTTTGCGCACACACCCAACCAGTATGTATAAGAATTTTATTCCAGCTGCCCAAAGGTCATCTTAGCACACAGACACAATTAAGTTTTCAGACACAATCATTCCATCAAAATTTGGCAGTAAATTCCATTAATTGTAAGGGATGTCTTTCTTTGATGGAAAACAAAGGGAGAAACCCTATTCTAAAAGCAAAATAGATCTGTACTGTGTCATGGAAAATAAACATTTATTCTTTTCTGCCAGGTGAAAAAGAATGATCCTGTTGGTTGAGATTTAGAAAAATATTAGGTTTCACAGCAAGACAGTTCATTGAATGAATTTTGACATGAATGTTTGGTTAATTGGGGGTGCAACATTGTGTGGCAGCCGGAATGGTTGTCTGGCGTTATTTTGTGCTCTCTTAAGAATACTAATTTCCAAATGGTTTCTTGCATATATTTGATGGTATTCACAACTTTACTCTCAAGGTAGTTGTTATGTTATGTTTGCAATGGCCATGGTCTAAAAAAAAAGA